TCTGTTCACTGCATTTCCTGCAACCCTCACCTCTTTCATGGCTGCAGTATCATTAATGTAATATTACAGGTATGTGTCAAAAGCACTGTGGTCTGTTGGATCTATTATGTTTCACCCTAAGGTCAGCAAATTCAGATTGCTTTAGAGATCAAACTAATATGGTTTACTAAACCAAAAATTTTTACTTTTGCTTTGGTCTCAGCCATGGGGATTAATTTCTGAAACCATCATTGGCCCTGAAGCAGCTCAAAAAAATCTCTTTAAAGGGCTTTTAAAGTAACCTACCAGGGAGAGTAGATACATTTTCAACGTTTTGTTAAGAGAGGTTATACATCAAGGATAGGTTAAGTATTTTAATAAATTACTTTATAGCCCCTTATTGATGTCCAGAGAAATTTGGGTGAGGGAAAAGGTAAAGGTTACGGATGTTTACTGGCACTGCCCTGGGAAAATGAGGATAAATTGGCTAATGCTTGATGCTTTATTTTGTGCTTACCTCTTAGGAAAACATGTGGTTACTGCTTTGTCTATGATTTTTTTTTTTTAAATCTTTTCACCAGAATACTAAATTGGTATTTGGTATTAAATCACATCTCTTGTTGTGAAAACGTATATGCTGACAGAATACTTTCTATAGTTTTCCCTTCTTAATTTTTTTTCTGAAAAATTCCCTGCCTCACTGACATTGAATTCTAGTTTAAGAAATTAGAATGCAGTGTAGAATAGAATGATAAAGTAACTGACCAAAGTCATGCCAACTTGTTAGTTGAACTGGTTTGAGGGGCTCCATATGAAACAGATTTCAGAATGTGCCATTACAGGAACATTGAGGTGCCCTTGACAGAAAATCTTGAATTTGGAAGAAAAGCTGGGGTGGGTTTCAGAGCAAAGATTGAATAAATGATAGGAATATGTTTTTATTTATTTTTCTATGAAATTCACTGGTCATAAGCTCCATTGTAGGTCTGTAGTTTGCAACAATTTTTTTTAGTTCTGAGTTTGGTTTTGGGACTCTGCCTTGATTTTCTTTTTCAGAAAACAGAACTAAGCCACTTTCTCCTGTTCTTAAACAAATGTGTTTGCACTTAACATATTCCAGCCAATAATTTAGCTACTTGTTACTTGCTTTCTCCACAATTTTTTCATTGTGGAATATCAAATCAATTGTTAGACTGTCAGGCAAAATATCAAGGAATTTTTTTTTTTTTTTGCTACATTTTTTCCTATCCTTATTGATATTTTATTGGAATTTGTGTGATGCAGTTTATAAAGAGAAGCAATTGTATTAGATGATATCTGCCTCTCTTTCACAGCTTTCCAGTATATAAAAAGCAACCCACTGACCTGTTTTGAAGTCTGACTTTAACTGAACTGTTCATGACAATTAAACATATTGAGGATTTTATTTATCCCCCTTCAGCAGCTGTTCCTACTTTGTTTAAAGTAATTGTTTTTATATATTAAATGACTTTCACTCAGGCAATGACTCTGTCAGTAGTCTCAGTTTGTGCCCTGCCTGGCCCTTTGATGGTAATCTCTGATTAGTCACACTGTTCCCAGCCTTTGGAGTTTGTTATGAACTTTTACAGAGGAAAGAGATGGAGGAGGATTGAAGTTATATGTAAATAATTAGGCAGGTGGGCACTTCATGCCAGCTGTGAAAAAAAAGTACTCAGCAATTTAACCAAATGCCAAATATGAGCCAACATGTGCCATTGTTCTTGAACCCTGTGAGGCTAAATATGAATAAGCATGCATTCTGCTGTGGCTGTGACTAACAAAGCCGTAGATGGGTTCCACTTTATTCTGCATGGCTATTTTGCCATTAGTTTAATTCGAAAGAGAAGGTAGAAACCAATTTT